ATAAATAAAAATTACAAAATATAAACAAAAATTACAAAAATATTTTTTCCTAAAAGAGTTCCGATTTCTCCGACTTTTCTCCATACGTGCTGATGCGTCCGCAAGTGCACGGAAATGTCGAAGTAATATAAAAGATTGTCGAACCCACAGAGACCAATGTCAACCTACCGTTATCTATTGTTGCGGTGTAAAGCTAAAGCTGATGGAATTAGGAAAGTTGAATGCGAATGAAATTAAATACAAAGGAAATAAAGGTAATTGGTTTAAGGAAAAGCGGTAAAGGGATATCGGTATGTAATGCTTTAGTTTTCGGGGATTCGACAAGTCGTCGGTGCCTTTTAGTCTATTGTAAACACTTTTCAGGAGAAAATACTCGTTTAAAGACCTTTGTCTCACGATGGTTGTTGACTCGGGTCATAGTTCTAAGGCGGAATGTACGCTCTCGCAGTCCTATTCGGGGTTTAAACTACCTTTTGAAAACAAATAGATTCTAATTTCTTTTAAAGCGCTTTCGCTGTTTTTAAAATCAATGCCTAGTTTTTACTATCCGGCTCTTACCTCAGCTTTTGCGTGTCAGTTTGTATCTTAATGAATTTCCCACTTTCGTGGCAAAATTACTATAAATAATTTATCGCTGTCGCGACGAAGGTTTGTTTAGAAATTAAGATTAAAAACTACGGCCAGAAAGGTTGTTTGTAAAAAGGTAAGGTGCACCGGGTATTATCGAATCCTGTCCTACTAATTCGATTACATACCGATAAAACTAATTTAGCTAGACATGATAATTAATGCAAACAGAAATAAACATAAACAACAAAATAATAAAACATGCATTATGACAGAAAATAAAGTAATAATTCAATCAATAAGAACCTGGAAAGTAGTACTGAAATTGAATTCTCGAGTAGTCCTCCACAATATCGGCAAGATTCTACTATGGTGAAATGAAAGTGCAGAAAGAATACGACAATGTTCTGAACTAAACGAAAATGGAAAGGAAATAAAAGAAAACAATAAAACTGGGAGAAATAGCTTTAATAAAAATTTTGGCAGCACTTCGATACGTCGAAGCTCCCCCCCCCCCCCCTTGAAAGCTGTGAATCTAAGGCCTATTTATAGGAGATATTTTGTTTCCCAACTTCCAGAGGTCATGCGTGAGTTATGGAGAAAGTGGGAGTAACTTCCTGTAGTGGGTAGTTAATGGAGAAAGTGTAGGAAGAAGTTAAGTTAAAGGTGTTCGTGAACACTTCTGTTTTAGCACGTCATTCTGATATTTGGTTCACGAGGGTCGTGTCACTCTTGTGACGACCGTATTAAACGTGACGACCGTGTTGCTCTTGTGACGACCGTGATGGTTGTGACGACCGTGATGGTCTTGTGACGACCGTCACATTCCCAAAATCTGCTTTTCTGTTTCTTTCTTCTTTCTTTTCCTTCTATTTCTTTTTCTTTTCCTTCTTTAATCCAAATTCTTCCACAATCTGCAAAACATGATATATTAACCGTATAATAAAACATAAATTAAGATAAATTAACAATAATCGCAATTAAATTCATGTAAGTCAAGTTAAATAAATGATATAATTTGGCGTTATCACCTGCAAAATAAACAAAAGCAAACGAATACTATCGGTTAGAATGGGACTCCGACGCCCTCAGAACAATGTCATCATCGGGCGTGTCAGGAGGGTAACGGATTTCTTCGTCTCCGACTCCCAAATTTAGTTTCGCGACCTCGGCACAAGAACAATAATTTATGTTCTATTAGAAGGCAACCAAGAGAGAAAGAGTTTAAAAAAGTGCTTTTGGGAAAAAGTTGTTTTGTCAGAAAAATGATTTTTCATGGAAAATGAGGTTTTGGCCAAACAGGCCCTAAAGCACATTTTAAGTTCAGTTGAATCAATTAGCATTAACCAAAAAACAAGTTCTCAAAAATTTCGGAAATGAAATTGGATCAAACCCCCTTTCAAGAGAAGAGCATGCGACAATGAATCCCAAACAATCAGCCAATAAGCTCGCACCTGCAACAACATTTTTCGCAACGAGACTCATAGTCAGCATAAGCACCTGGTTCAAGGTTCCCACAAAAATAGCCATCAAAATCTCTAGATCACGAAATCATAGCAAAGCCCACAAAGAAAACAAATCATATAAATCAGTAAGGAGTTCATCCGAAAGGAGGACGATACGAACCCTAAACAACAAAACGGCGTAATCCCATATAGGTTCAGAGAAATCCCATAGGATTTCATCATCATCACCTACTGAGAAAGAAGAAGGCTCCGAGTTGTCAACACAGAGTCAAACCACAAATCTCAGCAAAGAACCTTATCGGTTGAACTTAGAGAAGAGATATCCTCATCACTGCCCTTTAAGAACAAGTTGACGCCGTTCAGATTGCTCCAAACGCCATTCAAAGAAGGTGAGCAATCCGGGCTGACGAGGTTGTTCGATGTTATTTTGCAGGTACCGGAAAGAGAAGAGAGATATCAAAATCGAAGCAAACAAAGACGAGATCGAAGCTTCGAAGTTTCAATGGCTACCGCGGTGTACATGCAGAAGAAGAAATTTGGGAAGGAAGAAGAAGATGCAGCGCCGTCATGAGGAAGAGGAATTGAACCCTAAAGGGTTCAAATGATAACGGAAAGCGAACCCCCCACCCCTTTAGTCTGTTGTTTTTTCTTTTTCTTTGTGTTATTGTGGTTATTTATTATTGTTTATTAATTTTAGTGTTAGGTTTTGTTTTACAATTTCAATATGAATTAATAATAATAATGGCTAGGTAAAAGGGAAAAGAGGAAAAGGGAAATCATGAAGAAAAAAAAAGGGAATTATTTTGTTTAAAATTTAGATTAATGTTTAGTTAGAGTTGTTATCAGATGTAAATGTCAAAAATCAAAACATTTTTTAATTAAGCAAGAAAACTAAACTTTAAAAAGATTAGAAAGAACATTATGTTAAGCTTAAAGAAATTTTCGACATCCTTTCTTACAATTAAAACAATTTTCTTTAATAAAATTAAACAAGATTTTTCAAAATAACTTCCCTTTGGTATACAAAATTTAAAGGTTCTTCTCTTAGTTAAGTATGGTTTTTTCCAAAAAATTAAAAGTGATTTTCCTTTAGAAATTTCGAAAAAATGAATTCTTGATTGAGTTGTTTCCATTGCTGCTTGCCCGTTTCGGTTTATCACTATTTCATTGTTCATATTGTCTTCTGTTTATTTCAAATTGTAATTATGCAAGGCTACTGTCACAACTTTTGTTTTTTGGGATTTGTAATTCATGCGAGTAATCATCGCAGTCTTTATTTTATTTTCTTGCATTTTTTGGATTCTTGTAATTTTACGCGAGTGATCATCATGATGCTTTCTTTTACTGCTTTCTTTATTTATTTACTCTTTCCGTACTTTAATTCGGCCATCGAATGATATTTTTCATTTTTCTTGTTTTACTGTTAATCACCATCCGAAGGAATTAGGTTTAACAGTTTGACCACCGAGTCAATAACCCTAATTTTGACCATCCTCAAACCCTAATAGCCTAGGTGTCCCGCTGTGGACGAAAACGCCCTTTACCCTAGCATTAGGTCAAAGAGTCACCGTACTCTGCTTTAGGGTTTCCCGCCGTGGAACATTTAGTCAGCCCTAATTTCATCCCTAATCTTAACCCGAATTTTCAATTCAAAATTCAACATAGAAATACACTACAAGAAAAAAAGAGATTTACGACACATGAGTTACGACAGTTCCTACGAAACCGTCCTTATTCCTGGATTGCGACAGTTGTCACGACAGTTAGAGCTAACTGTCACAGATTTCCTAAACATGTAGAGTAACATAACTGCGACAGTTATCAAAGAACCGTCCTCTTTTGACAATCGCGACGGTTAAAACTAACTGTCGCGACTACTTTAACCAATCATAATCGTTACTTTTTTTATTCCTTTATTTTTCTATTTTTTTCGTTAATTATTTTATTTTCACACCTTTTCACTTTTATTCTCTAATTATAATAATAATAATAATAATTACACCATTTCGTTAATTATTCTATTTTCACACCTTTTCACTTTTACTCACTAATTAATTTTTTAAAAAATAATAAAATTCCCTCCCATTACACGCAGGTTCAAAACAAGGTTTTAAACATTTTTCGTGACGATGGTACTGTATGAATTTCAACTGCCGTTAACCCTAAGCTACAACATGAATTTCAACCTCCATCACCTTTAAACCATCCAAATTCTTCATAATGACCGCGACAGTTGATATAAACCGCCCTCGTAATGAAGCTACGCCACATGAATTTTAACTGTCGTTCTTCAATTTTGTCTCCCAATATTTTAAGCGCGTCGAATAATTGGAGAACTATACAATTTTGGTTTGCTTCTATGAACTTCTTTGCTTCTCGGCATGAAGACGAAAAGTGTTTGCTTCTCTGAACTTCTTAGATTCTCGGTGTGAAGAGGAAAAAGGTTAGTCTATCATAAGCTCATATAAGTTACTTATTTGCTTCTGAATCAAAGCTTGTCAAAATGTAGGGTTTTGTGATTTTTTTTCTTTCTATTGTTAGCATTATTGTCGATTGTTTGTTATATTTTTGTGTTGATTTTTAAGTGGATGATGCTAGGTTTTGAGGAGTGAGTTTTAGGCATTGGTTTGGAATTTTCCCTTGTTAGGTTTTTGTTGTTAGGAGAAGTGTTTCTAGTTGTTATTACTGTAGTTTGAGGTTGGATGATTAGTTTTGATTTTGAGGAATTGTTGGAAACGTGAAATGATATTGAATTCTGAAGGTTCAGATTGTGAAAATGTGAGTGTTGATGTTGTTTGTAATAGAAAAGCTATGAAGATGAACTTTGTTAAATGAACTTTGTGAAAATGTGAGTGTTGATGTTGTTGATAATAGAAAAGCTATGAAGATGCACTATTATGCACATGTTATTTTTCATGTGATCTTGTATCAGTTGATTCTTTTGTGGTTTCCTCTCTTGAATACACATTAAGTCTTCTTAGGAGCAAGTTTGGTCTTAATTTCATCAACCTGTTTAGTATCAATCTGAAAGGCCTGAGCAAGAACATCATCAGGAACAACTGTTGTTGATCCAAACAGAGCTGAAGCAGTTGAAAAAGCACCAGGAAGTTGACTGTTAAAAGCAGAAATCACAGAAGAAGCTATATCTCCACTGCTCTTCTGATAATGCACCAAACCTTTTGGAAAAACAAATACTTCACCCTTTTTGATGGACTTAGAGATGAGTTTGTCAGATGTAGTGATAAAACCAACATTTAATTCACCTTCTAACATAAAAGCTTATGTTATTAGTAGGTAATTGATATTGAGGAAATGGTATGGGCACCAAAATATGGTTTGAAAGGGATGATTGATGCTTCACTTAGAGTGAAGGTTCAATCTAGAAAAGATAAACCAGAGGAGAAGATCATGCCATTAGAGTTTAAAACTGGAAAATCACCCAGTAGCCAGGTCAGATTCTGGTCCTCACTTGGTAATCAACCCAATAAAATTAAGATTAGATAAATACATCAATTTAACATGTTTTGCATTTCATATTTTCAGACATCCGTAGAACGTAGTGCCCAAGTAATTTTGTACACTCTCTTGATGTCTGAAAGGTTCAAACTATTCATTTCTTACACAGCCTACACGCAAACACACATACATACACACACACATCGAAGGATTATTCTAAAAGATTTATTTTGTTTATGTTGCCTTGTTAATAGGTACCAGAAGACCATTGATTCTGGTCTTCTGTATTATCTCCAAACAGATCAGACACAGGTAAGATTTTGTTGCTTTAAAATCAGTCTCTCTCTGCTGAAAATTGTAATATTGTTGATTTTTTTTATGTAAAAAAAAGGGCATTACAGTTCAAAGATCCGACTTAGTTGGGTTGATAATACGGCGTAATGAGCTAGCGAGTGATATTCTCAAGGCATTAGTCTTGCAGCAACTTCCACCAGTGTTACAGGTATGGGATTACCCATAATGTTCAATAATGTGCTTTTAACGTCTTCATCAGAATGTCATTACACGCCTTCATTTTCTGACTGTAGAGTCCTAGCATGTGCAGAGGTTGTCGCCATCTTAATGCCTGTAGCATTTATCACAAGGTACTTCATTACCTTGGGCAGTGTAGAGAATAGTTCTTTTAACTGCTTTGGAAGAACAGATTTGAAAAAAAAGTTTATTATGGAATCTATTTATATAAATAAAACTTATATTGAGTAATAATATTTTTTACTTCCAAAATTATGATACAATGCCCTAAAATTGTATCATTTTAATGAATTAGACCATTATCCAATATCTATCGCTGCATTATATCCCTTCCAATGTAGTGTGAATATTGGAAGTACTGTTTGTGTAATCTTTTGTCATGTAGCCCTGACTGGTCATGATCGCACGAATGCCCATCACTACTTAGAATATGTATCATAGTAGTAAAGATATTAAAAGACTTGAAACAATATTTTCATATGGAGTATGTCATAATGTTATTACTTAATTTAGTTAAGAATGTAGTCTAGGTAATATGGTTTCTCATATGTCTATGGTACTTTAACAATAAAATGCTTAGGCGCATGGTGGAAGTATCGAGAGCAATGGATTAGGAGATGTTTTCAATTCCAATACTAAGCACTTGACTTCATCTCATCTTAAGTTCCTCTGCCATTGGGACCATTTGATTGACTTAGAAGCTAAAGGGACTGAGGTGCAGATTTTAAAATCTCTTTAGCTTGCCTTTTTTCCTTTGAGATTTATTCGTAATTTGTCATATTTTAAAAATTCCTCCAATTTTTAATTTCTTATTTCCTTGACTGTTTCAGTTTTTAAAGAAAGATGTGTGGCGATCATATAATTTGAGGACCCGCAGTGCCGGTGGTGTTTCTTCTATTGTTATTGATGCTTCACAAGGAATACCTTATTCAAAATCTCATGAAGATAATCGTTTCGTTTATCATTTTGTACCACACGATACTTCTTGCTCCTCTATAGTTTCTGATGATGATCCTTCTAGTGCCTCATTGAAAATTGATTTAGATGTCACACTTAGAAGTGGCGATCATGTAATGTTTGATTATTGTTGTAAACGATTGTGTTTAGGCCTTAGTGATTATCATCTCTTGTGTGCAAAATGCAGGTAAACATGAGAATAACACTTTCTTTTTATATATACCAATAAAAAAGAGGTGGTTTAGATATTGATTGAAATGGTATTGAGTTGAACTTTTATTTTTCCATGCATACTTGGATCTTTCCATGGTTTTCTGTTCCATCTCTTCCTAGAAGAAAAACGGTTGTTAAACAGAAAAAAACCAACACAGAAGATGAACGCAACAAACAAGCTTTATCTTTAGTTTTAGCCACGGCTGTTGCTACAGGCGCGGCCGTGGCTGCTGTTCAGGCCACTCGTCTCGCAACTCTTCCTCGTTGTTATATTGGAAAAATAGCTCAAGAAATAGCAGCTATGAAAATTCAATCCGCCTTTTGTGGATATTTGGTATGAAATTTCCATCATTCGCGTTTCTTTCAGATTTTACTTATCTTCTGACCAATATATTTTTTAGGCAAGGAGGACTTTGCGCGGATTGAGAGGCTTGACGAGGTTGAAAGCATTGGTAAAAGGGAAGTTTGTTCAACGACAGGCGGCTACTACATTGCAATGTATGCAAACTCTTTCGGGATTGCAGTCTCAAGTTAGTACGAGGAAGGTCAGAATGTCGGAGGAGAGTCAATCTTTCCAACGCCAGTTGCAACAGAAACGCGAAAAGGAACTTGATAAGTTACAAGCTGCTGTAAGTACTTCTATGATTATGTGCTTAACTGATACTGTTTTTATAAAATGTACTAATGTGGCAAAAAAAATTTGCAGCCTATTGAAGAATGGGATTATAGTTCAAAATCGAAGGGGCAAATCCAAGCGAGATTGTTGCATAGACAAATCGCGGCCATGAGAAGAGAAAAGGCTTTGGCCTACGCGTCAATGCATCAAGTACTTATATACATTTTCTTTATGTAGTTTTTTTGTGATGTTGGATTTTAACACAATAACTTTCTATAACAGCAAACATGGAGGAACACTCCAAAAGAATCGGTTGATACGATGATTATGGATCCAAACAATCCTCATTGGGGGTGGAATTGGCATGACAGATGGATGGATTCAAGGCCATGGGAAGGACAAAACACAAAGGATGAAAAGAATCATCAATCAGCAAAAGGTGCTGCGAGTCACACTATGTCTGTTGGAGAAATCTCCAAATTGTATGCTCTAAGAGATCAAAATCAAGATAGTAAAAAATCTCCTACAAGCCAAAAACCAAGTCATCAAACTCTAGCTTCAAGGAGCATAGCTTCAACACCTATTAAAGGAAAAGCAAAAAAATCATCAACTGGTTCTTGGGGTGGTGAAGGTGATTCAAAGTCCATGTTCAACAAGAATTCCAAAAGCAATCGAAGACATAGTATTGCGGTGTCTCCGTGGCTCTTTTAGGATGCCTCAAATGACATGCCAATGAAAGATCACTCCTTAGTTCAGAGTCATGATAGGTTTGTTGCAAAATAGCTTATCTGTAGTCAATTTTATGGCGCAGTTTGCTGTAGACCGTTCAATTGAGAAAGATAATTGTTTCTTAATCTAACAGTTTGCGACTTGTTGTAGATGATTCAAATCTGATCTACTGTGGTCGTGTTTTTTTGTTTCAGTTTGATGTTTGGATTCGTCATTGAATGATATGTTAATCGTTAGTAGAGATACATGTAAGTCCATAAATTATGCGGAAAGCCGGTTCTGCGGAAAAGATTATGAATAGGTATATATTCAATGCCTCCCCTTAGTTATTGGAAAGTTTTAGCAATGTTTTTGGAGAAATTTGGTAATTTATCTTGTTTGAAATAAAATTATATTTTTCCTTGATACTTCGGTATGTGATTTTTGTTAGTGCTTGCACATGAAATCTAATGGAATTAATGAAGATTGATTTTGGAGAAATTACATGTTATGACTTGGCAATAGCAAGTCCAATTAAGTTTAATGCCATACTAAATTTTTGTTGTCTATTTTTTTATAGTTATGTGAAGGCCTTCAAAGAATGTTGGGAGAGCCAGTTTCAGTGGGCGTGGACGATCTAACGTGGACAGTGGTGAAGTGTATGACTCTGAGAGTTGTGATATTGATAGTAGTAAAAGTGGATTATTGGCAGAAAGTTACAGTAAATTGAATGTTGCTCTTTCTGTGATGCATGAATGTTTTGAGCCCCCTGAAGGAATCCTCCTCTAGAAGAGATCTGGTGGAAGATGTTATCCTCAAATTAGATTAACAACTACAGTCCTATGTAAGATAGGATTAGAGGACGTTAAAATATATACAAGTTAATTAAGGGCTTATTCAATAAGTGATTACCATATAAGTTAATTAAGGCCATATGGGAGGATGTATGGCAACCTGGATTATGACAATGTGAGTATAGACTATATAGCTTCATTACTATTATTTGCATTGCTGAGAAAATCTGAGAAATTAATAGGAAATTGGAGAGAATTATGATTTGACTTTTTGAATAGGTATACAGGGACAACACAAGTTCTGGGGAACGAGAATGTTCAAATATGGCGACGTTGATACTAGAAAGGGGGTTGGTGAAGCCAAAAGATTAGCAGCAACTAGAAGACTACAAAACTAATTATGAAGGGCTCATGATGATACTAGAAGACCACAAGTGATTTTCTTTATTGGTGCTAACTGGAAGTAATTTTTAAGCTTTTGTAGATGTTCATGTCTATCCTCTAAGGCAAAATCATACCAAAGAATTCTTCCGCCATCGGTAGAAAATCTTGGATCATCACTTGGTGTGGAAAATTGGGCAGAATATCTTGGATCATCGTAGGTTGTACAATTATATTGATTATATTGTATATATCAAGTTATAGATTATGACATTTGATCATTTAGATACTCATAAATATAAATTTAGTAGAAAATATAATAAGTTATTTAGAAAAGTGATATAATGAAATATCAATTGTTTTTTAAGTTATATAAATTTATATATTTGTTATATGTGAGTTTTTATATATTTGATATACGTGAGTCTTTATATATTTGATATATTATCAACAAAAAAAATAGTTTAAATTAAAAAATTATTATAAAAAAAATAAGATGAAAGTAATTTAAATAAAAATAGAATATTATAAAAAAATTCTATAGATAAAATTATGACGGTTTAAACCGTCGCAACTAGCATAAATAATATTTAGAATTAGTTAATATAATTACGACG